TGCTCAGGAGCCTTTGGAGACCTGTAGCCTGCTGCACCCCTCAGGAGCCTGCAGCATTTTATTTAATCCATTACACTTTATATATCTTAAACTGTTTTTTAAATCTAGAGACCTAGTAGCTTTAGAAAAAGCAAGGCTTGACTTCTATATCTATAAAATGAGCTAACAAGCTGGCTATGGCTTTGTGGAAGGATCTGGATATGTGCTGCTGAGTTTACAAGCTATAGCGACCTTAGCTATCAATACTATCAGAGATTTCCGAAGGATAAAAAAGTATACCTTAATACAGACCAAGTTGCTTTCAAACATATTAAAAATGACAGGGACCAGAGTTCATATACAGTTAGCCATACACTGATCTTCATAGCATTGGAGGCAGAAGTATCTTAGACAGGCCCATAAGGTGATTTTTTTCCCCCTGTGGAAGAGGGACATGGAAAAGTCTGACCTTATTTTGTCTAGGAAAAAGTGATACAATCAATTCTCCAATGCCCTGCTGTTTGCTCAGAATTTGTTCTGGGTCCTGGCAGCAGGTGTTGCACTGGGCATCTTTCCCAGTGGTCAGCATTATCATCATCCAGGTGGAGACATCGTGGTGTCCCATAATCTTCTCTGGAGACCTTGGGTCACTGCTAGGATCTGAAAGCCTCTGTCTGATAATAAGCTTTTTAATCATCATTTTAAATGCTATATTCTGCAGATCTCTGAAGTATGAGGGCTGCCTAGATCTGATTAGACAAACTTTATTTCTCGTTACTTGTTTTAAGTTTGATTTTGAAAACATATACAGGGACCTAATAAGGCTCATCCCAGTAATTAATTTTACCAGTACTTTAAGGATGACTGACTATTAACTTGTATTTCCTAACAAAGTTAGCAGAGCTTTTATAAGACTAGAACTTTACATTTTGTCAGGTTTAGCTTTAAAAAATAATGATTTTGAATTGAAGCTAATAAAGAAACTGAATTAGTCATTCCGAGGGTAAAAACAAAACAAGTTTATCTCCAGCTGTTAATGCTGTCTCCTGGGAAGGCAAGGAAAAGGCCCCAGGGCAAAATAGGAACCAGAGGGAGCCTAGGGGCTAGCATTGCCTTTGACAAGTTCTAAGGCTCCACAGCCAACTGTTAGGGTTGTGCCACAAGATCCTTTTGCCAGAGATAAGGAGGGCAACACCCTTTTTAGGGAGTTAGCACTTTCTCCAAGCAACTTGAGGGAATGGGAGCTTTATTCAGAATGCCTGACCTTGGGAAAGGGACTTTGTAAAGAGCCTTAGAAAACAACAATGTTTCAGTTGAAGTTTCTCAGTTCAATGATTGATTGAAGTATCATATCAATACAAAATTTTATATGACTCAGTTTATCCAAATAGCTTAAGCCCAAGAAAGTTAACAAAAACAAGGAGGCTTAAACATACAGTTTCAAATTTGAATAGACCTTGAACAAGGAGATACATTTTTTAAAACCATTAGTTAATATTTTTAATGCTTTGACCTTTTAATATAGTTTCCCATGTTATAGTGATCCTCCCATTACAAAAAAGTTGTTTTCTGTGTTATTCTACAGCTGCAGTTATGAATCTCAATTTAAACATTCGACATGAACGTGGTTCTAGGCTACTCCTGTACAAATCCCAAAGGATTGAGACCCTCAGGCTTCGACACTGTTCCAAGTCCTCTGTCAGACTGCTCAGGTCATTGTCTTCTGCATCACAAGGAAAGAACATCCAGTTTCTGGTTAGCTTTTGGTGCTTATAGCTCTGACCCTAATTTTAGTTTTTTATTGTAAGTCCAGACATTAACAATATAAAACATAAATGTCCCATAGCCTTAACTGTTTTTTTTTAATTAAAATCTCTTAAATGTCTTCCTGCCATATCAGAAATAAAGTACTTCTTGGTCCCGCCCTCGACAGCATATACACAGCCTGTCTTTTAGATCTCAGCCTGCTCCATTTCACTGTAGCTGGTGCTTCTGGTGACAACCCCCTGGCACTGGCATTTCTAAAACTGTTAAGGTCCATTGTTGTAACTGCACATTCTTTGGGGCTCTAGTCCTGCCATACATGTGTAAACCTCAGCTGTTTCCTGTGATCCCTTTATGTCTTTATGACCATTATCACCTGGGTGATTCTTAGATTAACAAAGTCTAGCTGGCAGAGCAGCATAAAAACATAATGGAAACTTTTATAATTTAATAAAATTACTTTAAAAAAAACATTGAGTATATATATATATATATATATATATATATATATATATGAACGAGACATCATGCACAAATCTATCCCAACCCAAACTATCTTGGAGATCTCTTAAGCCCACCCCACGTGATCACCTTTAATTAAGATGGCGGTGAAATCATGTGGCAGCCATTTTTTTTAACTTTAGCAAAATGGCAACCCAAAATTTAAAATGGAATAATGCCTTATGTTTTTGTTTGTTTGTTTTGGTTTTGTTTGGGTTTTGGTTTTGGTTTTTTGAGACAGGGTTTCTCTGTAGCTTTGAAGCCTGTCCTGGAACTAGCTCTTGTAGATCAGGCTGGTCTCAAACTCACAGAGATCCGCCTGCCTCTGCCTCCTGAGTGCTGGGATTAAAGGTGTGTGCCACTGAAAGACCTGGATAAATCCAGATCCCCCTAGCAGGAAAAAATAGAGCCAAAAATCTAAGCGGGGAGAGAAGAATCAGAAATCTAGGATTAGCCGGTTCAGTGACTGTTTCAGGACCTAGCTGAAGATGAAGTTAGAATGTAATCTTGAGAATAATCTTGAGAAACAGGGAGTTTCCCCCTTGTGATTATCGTTGGTATTTTTGGAATACTCTGTTTCAGGAACTAGCTGATTATAATCTTGAGAATCATCTTGAGAAACAGGGAGTTGCTCCCTTGTGATCATCACTGGATTTTTGGAATTTTCTATGACGCCCTCCCTACCCCCTTTGGATTACTGGGCTGTGGTTTCTTCCCTTAAAAACCTCTTCTCACAGTTACTCCAGGTCGAACTCCTCCCCTGCATGAGTTATGAGTCTCGGCCCCAGTGCACTGGTTCCTGTCTTGTCAAATAAACCTCGTGTGATTGGAGCAAGGACGGTCTCTCGTGAGTTACTGGGGAGATCGTATTATCCCAAGACTTGAGTGAGAGTCTCCCCACTGGGGGTCTTTCTCCACCACCACCCAACGCCTTAGGTTTTTTTTTTAAGTTATCAATTCCCAGTGTTACTAACTTTTAACTAGTTTTACTTAAATTTTAACAGATTTTTGACCATATCTGACAAAATAAACTCATATCTGAAGCTACAGAATATGAGTGTTCTGCTTTGTTTTCTTCTTGTCATTGTGCCGGGAGCTCAGACTGACAGAGGGACAGAGGAACCTTTTACATAAGCATGGTCTAGCAAAGGAAGAGCCATAATCCAACTCTAGAGCCAGATTTTCAATAAAAACAGCACAAAACAGTTTTAACATGATCTATACCAAAAAGTCATCTGAATTTCTGATAGCCCAAATCCAGCAACCGGGGCATAGGGGTTGAGACAAACAACCTCTACCCACCTTAAACATTTCATTGAAAGAAGGCAGCCCTGGCCTGTGTGCTGGGACAACGCGGGCAGGTTTGCCGTACAAGCACAGGCTGCGAGGCAGCACGCTTGTGTGGGTGGGTGGCTGGGCTGTGCAGCCTTGTTGTTACCCCTATGCTTATGGCCCTGTCTACTGTAAGTGATCCCAATATCAAAGTCAAAGTTGTAGTGATTTGGGTCTGTCCCATCTCGTCAGGGTCAGTCTAAGTCAGGACAAAAACACACAACACACAAACACACAGGGCAATGAACAGATGAGTCCTCCTTGTGCCCCTGAGGCAGAACCGAACCAAAGACTACATTCTAAAGCTGTTTTGCGGAGCATCCCACCATCTGTCTACAGAACCGAGGCACCAAGAGCATCCCATGTGGCTGTCTACAGAACAGAGAAGCCAGGAACATCCCGCATGTCTCTCTACAGAAACCAGAGAGATCCACTCTCATACAGAAGGACCAGGGGGATGTCTCCCCAGGCACCCGGCCTGTGATCTTTTCACGTGTCCACCTAGATTGTCTACAGGCTCTTACAGTTACTGGACCCAATTACAGAAAGACATGAGACACAGACATGAGACATAAAATGCAGTTTAAAGGCTCCGCGGGTGGTATACGGGTGGGCTTGGGGGAACTGGGAGGAGCCCCCAAATGTTATGCCTCGATATACGAAGTCCCCCCAAAACCAACAAGAAGACTGAGTCCCGTGTGTAAAAGCAAAGAGCCTTTATTTTATACAAGTTTGCAAACTCGGTCTCTCCACATGTCCAATGTATTGGAATAAACGGAGAGCCCTGAGCTCAGTTAGAGTTGGGTTTTTATAGTAGTAAAGGTGGGGGTGAGGGATTTCTAAGGTTCAGGACCCCTGATTGGCTGACATTTGTCTAGGGGTGTGAGTGTGCTGGCAGGTGATTCTATCTACAGTGGTTGGAATGTTAGGCATTTCCTTTGCATGGTCTGTTTTTGGGAGGTGCTGGATAATCTCAGTTTATGGTTCTTCCTGCAACCAGGTATTGCCTCAGGATAATCTACTGAGACTCAGGCCGAGTCCTACACTGGCAGGGGGATAATGGTTGGAAGTCAAGAACTTTCTTTGGGTGCTCTGCTCCTATTAAGCTTACCATGGTGGGCTGAGTCCTACAGTCAGATGTGGTTCTAGTGCCTCACCTTCTTGGTGAGAGCAGTGACGTTTACCGTAAGGCAGACTCAGTCCTGGGGTCAGCATGGTGGTCAATATGGGGTTAGAAACTGGAAGGAAGTGCCTCCTGCGGTTTCCTCACGGGTAGGCTGCTTAGAACTTGTGTCCACACAGCCGAAGGGTCCCAAGTCCACAGGCTACAGTGTGAAGTGTGAGTGTGTGAGAGAACACTGCCCACAGTGGGTGTGTGTGAAGTGAGAGAGAACACTGTGCTCACAGCGGGTGTGTAGTCATTTATTAACAGACAGCAAATGCTATCTTGGCAGCATCTGAGATCATCGGCCCCGGGAGGTCGGTCACACAGTTGACAGGCACAAGGGCTAGGCAGGGCTAGAGGGAGCACTGTGTCGCTCAGTAGCTGGGGCTGTTTGCTAGATGCCGACCTGGGCACACCAAAGCTGTGTTCATATCTCAGAGAGTCAGGGGGCCCTGGGCCTGCCCTGGGCATAGCATCCAGACTGCTGGAAGATGAGCGTCTGAGCTGGAGTGTCCAGCTGAAGTCCCGAGAGGACTCTCACAGAAGTTCTGGCTAGGTGTTCACATATCCGTCTTCTGCTTTCTGTGGGGCAGGGATTGGTTGTTGTGCATCGCCAGAAACTGAAAATACATAACACAGCCACTTCGGAAGCCTTATGCCTGTCCTTTCTGTCCAGTGCTATGGCAGCCAAGATCACCTGCTGGGAGGACAGTGGGCTTTGGTGCCTCAGGAATAGTTGGGGACAATGGAGTCACCTCGAAGGCTGAAGCTGGAATAATTTTCACTGTCCCTTTTTGTCAACAGTACTGGGGGTCGAAGGCCCCCCATCTCTGTGGGCTTCTTGCCTGGAAGTGGAAGAACCTGGGCACTTTTTTCCGGGGGTTGAACGCTCCCCGTCTCTGTGGGGTTCTTGCCTGGAAGTGGAAGAACCTGGGCACCTTTTTCCGGGCCTCTGAGGGTGAATCTTCTTAGGTGGTGTGTAGGCCACTGGCTGACTTTGTTGGATACTGTTTCTGTCCTTTTGGGGGACGAAGGCCCTTTAAAGACCTCACAGATGACTTGATCGTCCAGGTACCACCAGTGCTGCAGCGGGTACACAGGGATGGGCAGCAGAACCAGGACGCTGAGCAAGGTGACCCAGCCCAGGACTGTCTTCTGGTAAGGCTGCTTCTCTTCCTGGCTCTGGGGACAGGGACAGTGGACCACAGGGGGAAGGGCTCAGTCTGGGTGCAGTGTCCCCAGGTCCCCAAGGCAGGAGATACAGGTGAGGGCTTGGTCTGAATACTCTGGGTGCAGGGTTCCCCAAGTCCTGGGGGTAGGAGATGCAGGATGGGGGGGATTGAGTCTATGTTCTTGGGGTTTGGGGTCTCCAGATCCCTAAGTGTAAGAGACACGGGGTGGGGTGCCAGGTCCCCAGGTTGTCGTGGGCAGGGTCGCACCATACTGTTATTCCAGGAGATGTAGTAGAGGGATTCCTTGTGGTAGAGATTCAGGAAGCAGATGGTGAGCAGCGCCAGCAGTGCGGGCAGTGTCACGTAAGTCCACAGGAAGGTGAAGGGCGCCCACACCAGGCGGCCCAGCTGGTTGAACATCTCAGCCCTGAACCTGAATGAAGGAGGTAGCCATCGGGATGTAAGGCCTCGGCATACCTGGGCAGAAACTCCTGATGCTTAGTGTGGGGAACCAGGCCTCCCTGGCTCTGGACCAGGTTTGGTTACCCCATGAGAATCGTTCAGCCACAGGATGGCGCCACCATGGCCCTTGGCCTGCAGGGCACTCAGGGATGCATCTTCCTGGAGGGTCTGCCTGCTCTCTGAGGACCTTGACTCCCGTGCAGTGCCTCTGCCCCCTGAAGGCCTAGGATGGCCTGGATAGCTAAGCCCCTCCCCCCGCTGAAGGCCTAGGATGGCCTGGATAGCTAAGCCCCCCCCCCACGGGAAGGCCTAGGATGGCCTGGATAGCTAAGCCCCCCCCACTGAAGGCCTAGGATGGCCTGGATAGCTAAGCCCCCCCCCCTCCAAGGGATCAGAAACTACCTCCTGATTCCATAGACGCAAGCCAGAGAAAGGTTCTGGAGCACCACAACAATGACGAGGACCATGGGGACCAGGTGGTTGTCAAACAGGAACACCACGTAGCTGCCGGAACGACTGGAGAAGACAAGGCTGCCCAGAAGTCCTCCCAAGCAGACAACCACTAAGGGTGGAGGTGGATGGGGCTACACTGGGGGTTGTGTGTTGGGGGTCCATGTGACCCCAGGATGCTTTGGGTGAGGTAAGTGAGAGGAAGACTACAGGGTAGGGGCTTTTGTACCTGGTACCAGCTTGGGATACTTGGTGAAGGTAGGGATGTTGTTCTGCAGCGGAAGCACAATACTCTCCAGGAGCATTGTCAGTGTGGCCAGACCCATGATGACCAGAGCCACGAAAAAGATGATGGCCCAGAAAGAGGAACCAGGAAACAATGAGATGACTTGAGAGAAGGCCACATATGCCAGGCCAGGGCCCTCCATGAACTGTGGGGGAGAAGGACTCTAAGGCAGTGCCGCGTCTGGATGGATGGGGTTGGGAGAGTACTTCATTAGTAATGTCTGCCACTCAGCGTGGAAATCGAGGAGGTTAAAGTGTTCAAAGTTGTCCCTCCTGGACTGTGTGACCTGAATGACGTTCATTTTCTGGGTCCCTTGAAGTGAGTTACAATGTAGATGTGCACATAGACGTGGAAGGGGAGCCAAGGTTAGTACTGTTGGCTGCGGTGAGGCCACCAGACCAGCCTCTTTGACAAACACACCTTTTCCTTCTGTACCAGGATGCTGCAGGGTAGGGAGAAATGGACCACCCTCTGCTGGAGTTTCAAGGGGAGCTGGCTGATCCAGTACAGGTATTCTTCTGGCGGTTTGTGAACGATGTCCTGGGGAGGCCGGGCAGCCTGGGGCAGCACACCTTTGCCTATCAGTCTGACCAGATTGGAGACATTCCTGCTAATGTAGGAAGAGAAAAGAAGATGGCAGAGAATGATCTGGCTCTCCAAGCATCACCAACCAAGGAGGAGGAGAATTGCATACAGATGTATACTATCATGGCTCTGGAAGTCCATGGTTGGGGGCTCTGTGTGAGTGAGTGTGTGTGTGTGTGTGTGTGTGTGTGTGTGTGTGTGTGTGTGTGTG